CTCCAAAATCCTTAGGAGCATAGACTGTGACTTCTTTGGATTCCCCATGGCTCCTAGTAATGCCAAGCACATCGTAGGTGTTTAATTAATGTGGGTGATAAATTAAGAGAGCCTTGGTGTCAACTTAAGAGGGAGACAATAGAATGACTGGCTTGAGCTTGGATTTCACAGTGATTGAGTCAGGCAGGAAAACTTTTTTGCTTTTTCTTTGCCTGTTGCAATGCATGAGTCACCCTCTCCTCACCCCCATAAAACCAAAGAGGGCCAGACAAAAAATGTGGCTATTTATGTCACAGCTAACATAGGATTTACAGCTGACCCCAGATTTACTTGAATGCGCAGACCAGAGGCCAGTAAACTGCCCCCAGCCTCCTACCTGGGGCCCATTTTTGTACATAAAGTATTATTGGACCACAGCCTCGTCACTGGTTACTATTATTGTCTCTGGCTGCTTTTGTGCTACAGTGGCTGACTTGAGCAGCTGTGACAATAGGCTCTATAACCTGCAAGGTCTAATATATAGGGGGCGGGGGGCAAAAGATTAAATTACTTAGAGTAAAAAAAAATATTGTCTATCTGAAATTTAATGTAACTGTGTGTCCTTTATTTTTATTTTCTAAACCTGGTTACCCCTTGTGCGGCTCAGACACGGGCTCCAGACAGCTTTATCCCTCAGGATGCTAATCCCTGCACAGTGCATTTTAAGCAATAGAACTACACCCAGCTAGGATGGCAAACTTTCCATAGGCTGTTCCCTTTCGACTCACTGGGAAATGCCAGCTGTATCTTCAAAACCAAGGCCAACTGGCTTCTACCACCCCAGGCAGGGGTGGCTGTCACCCCCAACTCCCCAATCCTTCGTGCATACACACCCCATTCATGCCTTTATTATTGAATTCTCCACAATGTCACTTATTGCAGTTAGTACCTTGCCTAGCAGGATCAATATGAATTAAAATTGCATATGTGAATTAACAAAGAAATGAATGAATGAATAAAGCATTATAAAGACTGTTGCATTCATTAAACAAGGGGGCCATTCAACTGAGGTGGCTCTAATATCTTAGCAACATACACAAATCAAGGTTCCTCTCTCTTCAAAATCATTCAATCAATCAATCAATAATCTAAGCCCATAAGTGCCTCAAGTTTACAAAATCAAAACGCTAAGGCTGCTCAGGCCGCTGTGGTTCACACTGTTGAGCATCACCCGTAAGGCGTTAAGCTATAGCCCATCACTTCCAGCTTGGCTCAGCTGGATTTGAATTGATTTTTGCTCAAACTCTTTAAAATTTAGTGATTTTTAGAGAGATAGAAGAAGGGAGAGAGGGAGAGAGAGGGAAAGAGAGAGAAGAGAGAAACATCGATTTGTTGTTTCACTTATTTATGCGTTCACTGGTTGCTTCTTGCATGTGCCCTGGCCAGGCCTCGAACCCGCAGCCTTGGCGTATCAGGGCAAAACTCTAACCAACTGAGTTACCCGGCCAGGGCTGCTCTTAAAATTTTTGATATGCCTCAGTTTACCTTTAACAACACAGTGAACATACTCTTTAGATCTATTTTTTGAAGTAGATGCCTGTTTGCTTGGGGATAGCAGGGATGTTGCTGGAATACAAAACCATAAGTGAAGATGCTGGAAAACAGTGAAGATGTCATAGTTAACAGAGTGGAACTTCGGTGTCCAAAGCACCGTCAGACAAATACTAAAAAACCCCAGATATTTAGATCATGAGATCAGATCAATAAAGGGAAAAAGTAATAACTACAATGTTTTTGGTGATTGTATTTTTAAAGGCAGTTCTGAAGACCTCAGGGAAGGTGATTCTCAGGTTGAAACCTAAAGGAATCACCAGGCGAGGAGGGGCTGGGCCCGTGAGTAGGAGGGTGGGTGGGGGTGTGGATGGAAGAGACTGTAGAGTTGCTTCTCCCTTTATTCTTCGGGACAAATTACAATAAAACTGAGTTTCTGAATAGATTTGGAAAACCCCCAGAGGTGCCTCTGTGGTAGGCAGCTTGTTTTGAACCTACAGCGACTTTAGCCCGGGGCTCAGGAGAAACTTCTGCCCCTCCCTTAACTACCTTGAATTAGGGGCCTTACCCAAAATAAGAGATTATCAGAAATAACCTCTTTGACCCACCTACATGGCGGGGCAAACTTCTGTTTACTAAACATCTGGTCTTGTCCTGCCCTGAGCCTTTGAAGCCCCCAGGGGGCCTTACCTCATCCCGAGCTCAGAATGTCTCTCGCTGGGCTGGGCACATGGGGTCCCTGACTTTCTCAGGAATGCGGGGTTCCCACGCACAAGCACGCATTAGATTGGCTCACTTTCTCTTGCTAACCTGTCTCATGTCTATTTGATTGTTAGACCAGCCAGGAGAACCTTGATGGCAGAGGAAAGTTTGTTCCTCCCCCACGAATCCTAATATTGAACATTTGCTGACAGCAATGAGCCAGGCATTGTGCCAAGCCCTTTCCACGAAAGATTTCTGTTGTTGTTGTTAAATCTCATCCAAGGAAATTTTTTTCATTTATTTTTTTAGAGAGAATGGAAGGATGGGGGAGAGAGACAGGGAAGCATCCATGTGAGAGAGACACATCCATTGGTTTCCTCCCTAACACGCCCCAACTGGGCCCGGGGATCTAGCCTGCAACCGAGGTACTTGCCCTTGGCCGGAATCAAACCCGAGACCCTTCAGGCCACAGGCGGACACTCTAACCACTGGGCCATACCATCTAGGGCGAAAGGTTTTATTTAAACCTCACAAAAATCCTGTGAAGTAGGCACAGTTATAATCTCCGTTTTAGAGATGAGACCATTGAGAGGTGGGAGGTTAAGAAAGGTCACCAGGCAAGGAAGAGGAAGGCTGGTGTGGCTCAGCGGTTGAGCATCCCCCTAGGATCCAGGAGGTCGCTGGTTCGATTCCCGGGTTGCGGGCTCCTCGATCCCCAGCAGGGGGCGTGCAGGAGGCAGCGGATCAATGACTCTCATCATTGATGTTTCTCTCTCTCCCTTCCTCTCCCTGAAATCAATTAAAAAACATTTTAAAAAATTCATTGAATCAAGTCAGAGAAACTGTGGTGAAGGGAGATTGGGGGTTCAAAGGAGTTTGTGAGAGTTAGTCAGAGGCCGGCTGCTGGGGAAGGTTTTATTTCTTTCCCTCCCACTCATGAGTCACCGAGCTGAGCATATTGCCCATAAAATGTGACTGCACCTTCCCCGCGGTGCCCGAGGAATGAATGAATGAATGACAGCGAGGCGCGTTTAATAAGCACCGTGAAAGACATCACACGAAAGTAAAATACACTTTATTCCCTGTTCGCCTCTCGGGGCTCCAGCTGGGACTGATTTTATTGTGGTGACCAGGCTTAGCGCATATTTTCCCCTGCCCGGTTTCCATCTCCCTCCTG